GGATTTCTAGGAAAATAAGCGATATTTAAGGGGAAAAACAGGGATTTCTATGAAAATCAGCGATATTTAATGGGAAAAACAGGGATTTCTGTGAAAATAAGCCACATTTTAGGGGAAAAACAGGGATTTCTGTGAAAATAAGCGACATTTTAGGGGAAAAACAGGGATTTCTGTGAAAACAAGCGATATTTTAGGGGAAAAACAGGGATTTCTGTGAAAATAAGCGATATTTAATGGGAAGAACAGGGATTTCTGTGAAAATAAGCGATATTTTGGGGGAAAAACAGGGATTTCAGTGAAAATAAGCGATATTTTAGGGGAAAAACAGGGATTTCTGTGAAAATAAGCGACATTTTAGGGGAAAAACAGGGATTTCTGTGAAAATAAGCGATATTTTAGGGGAAAAACAGGGATTTCTATGAAAATAAGCGATATTTTAGGGGAAAAACAGGGATTTCTGTGAAAATAAGCGATATTTTATGGGAAAAACAGGGATTTCTGTGAAAATAAGTGATATTTCAGGGGAAAAATTGGGATTTCTGTGAAAATAAGCGACATTGTAGGGGAAAAACAGGGATTTCTGTGAAAATAAGCGATATTTAATGGGAAAAACAGGGATTTCTATGAAAATAAGCGATATTTTAGGGGAAAAACAGGGATTTCTGTGAAAATAAGCGATATTTTATGGGAAAAACAGGGATTTCTGTGAAAAGAAGCGATATTTTAGGGGAAAAACAGGGATTTCTATCAAAATGAGCGATATTTAAGGGGAAAAACAGGGATTTCTATGAAAATCAGCGATATTTCAGGGGAAAAACAGGGATTTCTAGGAAAATAAGCGATATTTTAGGGGAAAAACAGGGATTTCTGTGAAAATAAGCGATATTTTATGGGAAAAACAGGGATTTCTGTGAAAATAAGCGATATTTTAGGGGAAAAACAGGGATTTCTATGAAAATAAGCGATATTTTAGGGGAAAAACAGGGATTTCTAGGAAAATAAGCCACATTTTAGGGGAAAAACAGGGATTTCTGTGAAAATAAGCGATATTTTAGTGGAAAAACAGGGATTTCTGTGAAAATAAGCGATATTGAAGGGGAAAAACAGGGATTTCTGTGAAAATAAGCGATATTTAATGGGAAAAACAGGGATTTCTGTGAAAATAAGCGATATTTTAGGGGAAAAACAGGGATTTCAGTGAAAATAAGCGATATTTTAGGGGAAAAACAGGGATTTCTGTGAAAATAAGCGACATTTTAGGGGAAAAACAGGGATTTCTGTGAAAATAAGCGATATTTAAGGGAAAAAACAGGGATTTCTATGAAAATAAGCGATATTTTAGGGGAAAAACAGGGATTTCTGTGAAAATAAGCGATATTTTAGGGGAAAAACAGGGATTTCTGTGAAAATAAGTGATATTTCAGGGGAAAAATTGGGATTTCTGTGAAAATAAGCGACATTTTATGGGAAAAACAGGGATTTCTGTGAAAATAAGCGATATTTTAGGGGAAAAACAGGGATTTCTATGAAAATAAGCGATATTTTAGGGGAAAAACAGGGATTTCATGGAAAATAAGCGATATTTTATGGGAAAAACAGGGATTTCTGTGAAAATAAGCGATATTTAAGGGGAAAAACAGGGATTTCTATCAAAATGAGCGATATTTTAGGGGAAAAACAGGGATTTCAGTGAAAATAAGCGATATTTTAGGGGAAAAACAGGGATTTCTATGAAAATAAGCGATATTTTAGGGGAAAAACAGGGATTTCTTTGAAAATAAGCCACATTTTAGGGGAAAAACAGGGATTTCTATGAAAATAAGTGATATTTTAGGGGAAAAACAGGGATTTCTGTGAAAATAAGCGATATTTTAGGGGAAAAACAGGGATTTCTATCAAAATGAGCGATATTTAAGGGGAAAAACAGGGATTTCTATGAAAATCAGCGATATTTCAGGGGAAAAACAGGGATTTCTAGGAAAATAAGCGATATTTTAGGGGAAAAACAGGGATTTCTGTGAAAATAAGCGATATTTTATGGGAAAAACAGGGATTTCTGTGAAAATAAGCGATATTTTAGGGGAAAAACAGGGATTTCTATGAAAATAAGCGATATTTTAGGGGAAAAACAGGGATTTCTGTGAAAATAAGCGATATTTTAGGGGAAAAACAGGGATTTCTATGAAAATAAGCGATATTTTAGTGGAAAAACAGGGATTTCTGTGAAAATAAGCGATATTGAAGGGGAAAAACAGGGATTTCTGTGAAAATAAGCGATATTTAAGGGGAAAAACAGGGATTTCTGTGAAAATAAGCGATATTTAAGGGGAAAAACAGGGATTTCTATCAAAATGAGCGATATTTTAGGGGAAAAACAGGGATTTCAGTGAAAATAAGCGATATTTTAGGGGAAAAACAGGGATTTCTATGAAAATAAGCGATATTTTAGGGGAAAAACAGGGATTTCTTTGAAAATAAGCCACATTTTAGGGGAAAAACAGGGATTTCTATGAAAATAAGTGATATTTTAGGGGAAAAACAGGGATTTCTGTGAAAATAAGCGATATTTTAGGGGAAAAACAGGGATTTCTATCAAAATGAGCGATAT